ATTTTTATTTGACATTAGTCCTTTTTTTCCCTGAGAATAGCACATACCAAACTATACTGAAATTGCGACCCTAAAAACATGATATAAACCAAACCATAATTCAAACCGTTACACCGCTAGTACAGATGCTGTTATAGCTTTTTATGCTCACGAAGGAAGGGAAACGTCTCAATGGCGGTACGCAAATCCCCTCTATTCTCATTCACCAATATAGCCACCAGCTTGCAGGAGATCCTAAAATCAAAACCACGATGAAACGCATGGCACATGAAAACACTCAACATATACATGACAGAGAAGTAATACTGGTGATGTTCATCTGGGCAACTGTATGGCAGGACATCACAACATCAGCTGTGAGATGTGACCGTTCAGTACCTTGTACCAGAAGAATAAGCAAAGAGCACACCTGAGAGTGGGGTTTGTGAGAGAAGACACAACTAGATCAGTGTCTGGATGATGGAGGGACCACAGCCAAACATCAGGACAGCGTTCTGCACCAGTCCGGGAAGCAGAATAAAGTGCACTGGAAACAAACATTACAAAATTATTCATTTAATCCCTATAAACCAAAGAAAAAAAATTATGACATTATCGCACACTAATAGTGAAATATTCATATTAAAATGCAATACATATTGGAAGCAGAATAAAGTGCACTGGAAACAAACATTACAAAATTAAACCAAAGAAAAAAAATTATGACATTATCGCACACTAATAGTGAAATATTCATATTAAAATGCAATACATATTATTCTGAATAATATTCTATATATTGCACAAGGCTTAGGGAATAACTTTATGAATAATTTGCACATGCTTTGATGTCTTTAGGTCACATGGGTTTGTAATTGAATGGATTTGTAGAATTGCATACATGTACATTTCTAAATTTCAGATTTGAGAGAGGGAGAGAGAGAGACAGAGAGAGAGGGAGAGAGAGAGAGAGATTATTATAAAACAAAAAATCGCATATTCTGCATATGTATTCTTTAAAGTAGGAATTGTGATATGCATTTGCATATATCTGAGTTGGTTTTGGGATCAAATGTTATCTCTAATGTAACCTACATGCACTGCGGTTGGTTGCAAAACGCGGAGCTACAACATAAGGTCGGGTAAAACTGATCACAATTAGTTCACTTTTAAAAATGTTACAACAATCCCACCAATGAAAAACATCCTATCATAAAACCCTACATTTCCACCTATCATACTGTGCTTTGTATGACGTT